TCTACACACCCCACAGCCAACAACCATATTCGACCTTCTCTTTTCTAACTATTCCGTCATCTTTAGCTCTTAATTCTGGCGGAGCAGCTGTGTAAATATAGCTAGAACTAAGAAGCCACAATCTTCCCAGCTCAGGCATTACCATATCTTATTTTCCTGAGCTGTTTGCAAGCACTGTCTGGCCTCCCTGCCTATTTTTTATCCTCAGATTTTGGGTTTGCCTTTGAATAAAATCAGTATGTGAGTACTTGGTGACTGTGCCCTTTGCCAGGCCCCACGGCAAGCCAGCAGCATTGTCCAGGTGCCTCACCACTCAGGTGCCTCAGATCACTCACAGCCAGCCCCAATAAAACAGGACACTGCCAAGGAGGCAATGCAAGCTTTTAATTTGCTGCCTGGGACTTTTTTCAGCTAGGTCTTTGAAACTGCAATTTCACTTCTTTACAGCTGGTTTAAGAAGACTGACTAATGCTTTACAGAAGGGCAAGGTACCAGCTGTGTATCAGCCCTTTATTTTGCTCTTGTAGGGTTAGGATATCTGTGGGAGTCCATAGGGCAACCCCAGGCATCAACCTGCTGCCAAGTCAGGCTGTGCATTTCCCCTTAGTTTAAAAACACACGCAACAGTTTATCCACAAAGCTGTGCAGTCTTATCCTGCTCCTAAAAATAATGACAACCTGCAGAGCAACATGAGCTTGGGGGAGGCCTCCACATACCTGTGTCAGTCAGGATTAAAAAAAATAATAAAATGCTTTCGCCATCCCTCAGACTAGATAAACAGGAGATGATGCCCATTCACAGCTACCTACACATTCCCTCCAGCAGCAACAAGGGTTGCTCTGGCTCAGGGACACAAAGCTGTAAGGCTGTCAGCGGGGCTGTAAGCTGTGACCCTCTCAAAAGATGAATTGCCCACCAGTGAAGTACAAACACTGATCCAAAAAGCCTGATTCATGCCTAGCTTTCTCTCTCAGAAGAGGTGAAGGCAGCATTATAAGCACATTACCTAGCCTTCATGCATTGCAATCTGCACAGCTGAATAAATCCTGCATACTACGATCAGTGCCTGCATAGCATATGTAGATTGCCTACCCTTGCCACATTCTACCTTACCAAGTCCTTCTCTCTTAGCATCAATCCAGCATCTAAATCCTCCTCAGATGCCAAGAATGACAGCTCTCAACAAAAAGTTTCACCCAGGCACCAATTAGCACACTGCTATTTGTAAACAAATGATCTAAGATGCAGATAACCCCCCAGAAGGCAGACCTTTTGGGGTCCAGCCTGGCTTAGCTAGCCCCCACCAGCCTGCTTTCTGCTCCTTGCTGACCAGTGGGTCCCAGGTAATAAACTCCTGCAAGACCAAAGTGCTGTGGAAGGTGGTACAGAAGGACCTGAGTCAGGCTGGGAACCATGAACTGGCTGTGGGTACTGCTGCCCACAGAAAGGATCAATCCTGTCTCAATGAAACATGAAAATTTGAGGAGAGAAATGTTTCACCTATCATCTGTTTGAAAACCAGGACTGGTTTTTTTTTTTCAAAATGTAAATGAACATTCAGCACAACACAACTTGAAACTGATGCTGAGAACCTGAAGGAATCTCACCATCCTAGAGTACTTTTTCTAGCTGAAATGGTCACAAGGTAGCACACAGCTACAAAACAGAGACCAGACTCTGAAGGCTGGTTAACCTTAAGCAATTGCATGTGCATGAACAGCTGAGACAACACCATACCGACTTTCGTAAGCTAAGACAACAGTGATAAGGTTACAAGATTTTGTGGATTGTTCAACAATGCTGCACCAACTTAAATGCAATTCTGTACCTCCTTCAAGTAGAAGCAGTTTAAGATATTTAACTTACCAAGTGCCTTGAAACAGAGCATCATTTGTAGCCCATTCTAGCAAAACATGGTTTAAAATTTAAGTTGTGTAACTCCAGCATTGTCACAAAATTACAGCTCCTTATTCAGATCCTTTGAAGGTTTTCTTACATATACCAGTATTTAGGCCAGAATCTGTCAGTTCATCATATGGAAGAAATTGATCCCAGCCTGACAGCATACGCCAGCAGAAACTTGATCAGCCAAGATACCAAATGCTCTTCTGCAGTCACCATTTTGTTGACAATTGAACACTTTGTCAGACTAATACAGAACATCTTTTTGGAGGTACTGCTACATTTGTATATTTTACTCAGAACAGCTACTGTAATATTCCAGCAAAAAAGTTCTAGTACAGATAAAGGTATACCTTGAACATAAAACTCATTCTCCACCCAGAAGTTTTCTATTTCCAAGTCTGTATTAAACATGATAACAACCATGACATTTTAGAAACACTGCTCTCCATCTTATCTCACTTCTTCCTCCAGAGTACTAGAGTACAGACAAGACTCTGTATTTAAAAATCAGTCATCTGAAGTTTTTATATACATAGAAGAGTTTAGGGAGCCTGTCACCAGATAAACACTAGCATGGGTAATATGCACAACAAAACTCAGATGACTTTTTTAAGCAGGATGCTTTTTCAGCTATTCCCAGAAGTCTGATGAATACTCATAATGAAGTTATTGGTTTGTATTACACAGTTTGTTTATTGGGTACAAAGAGCCAGCCTGCCATCTCACCTTCCTTGAGCTAGTAGTCCTGTACACCCAATAGGAAGGAAAATATTAGCCAGGTTATACCAATTACACCCCAAATTCATAGGGCTCAGCATCACTAATGAAGCTTTTTCTCAAGACCGTTAGTAACCTGTATTTTGATGTGCTATGTTACGTAAATAGAAATGAAAACATCCAGTTTTTCAGAGATAGGTTTGGCTATTCATGTTCAAACTCGGCAGTCTTGGGTTGCAGGCTAAATGAAGCTTATCTTGTCTACATTCAGGTCCTGAAACTAATTAGAAGCTTCCATCTCTCTTGTCACATTCTGCTCATTGCCATAAAATCTGAGGAGGAAATATATCCAAGGCTTAAGTACGTGCAAATCCCTCAGATGGCTTCAGATACAGGAGCCTGAAGATATAAATTAAGTACCACCTGTGAGTACATGTGATAAACACCCGACATTGCACGTGACACAAAGTATGTTCAGCTATATGAAAGATTTTTCAAATTATGCAAGATCCATCACGTCAGAAGGGAGACAGTGCAGTTAATTTCTTCTGTGAATACACAGATATGCCACTGATTTAAAGTTTATAATGAGATACTGCAATTTACAATACTGTAATGCTTATGAGCCTCACCACACTTGCAAGACTTTGGTTTTCAACAGAAAAGTTTTACTGTTACTGGAATCAGTCTGTGCACAGGGGTAGGTGAGAACATACTACTGCTGCGCAAGAAGTCAGACACCTTCTCTCTGCAGGCTTGTTTTGAATTGTTTATTGAGGTTTAAGAAGTCATCCACATTTCTATAAATATAGACATTACTCGAGTAAGTGACTTACAATGTCACCAGTGCAGGTACATATATAACCAACATACAAAAGCTCCACTGGAAGCTACTTCAGTTTATTCAAAAAGGACCAAGATGCCATAAAATTAAAAAAAAACAAAAACAAACCAAAAACCCAAAACAGCTGTCACTTTCGGTTACTGAAGACACTAAAGTGCATTTTTGGTTACCTCCTGGACCAACAGCTGCTAGTTAAAAAGTTTGATTTGTCTTTTAAAACATATCTAAGTAAGTTACACTGATTGACATTGGGGGTTATAGCTGTCATCCTCCTGATACACAGCAGCAGGTAAGAAAAACATAGTACTTTGCTGGTTGAGTAAGAGGAGGAAGCAGATTCTGCTTTTTTGTTTTTACTTTTTTTTTTTCCATCTGGTATTTCCAACAAAAGTTCGAAAATGTAACATTCTGATGAATTTTTACAGCACCACTAAACGTTAGTCTTAAAAATCCAGGCTCTGGTTTAGCCCTTTTAATTGCTAGCCAAGTATCTAAAGAGCTCTGTACCAGTAAGAAAAACTACTCTCCCTTTTCCATCAAGCACTATCCTGCCCAGTTAACACTGTTTGCACACTCTGTAAACAAGAACAGCTTAAAGCATAATTAAAGCAGAACACAGGCCTATCTTGAAAATCTTCTTTCCCCACTCACTCCCTCCCTCCCCCCACCCCCGGTAGTGTCAAATGTTTGAGTGTATAAAGCATTATTACATTCCTAACCACAAAATACTTGAAGAGTCACAATAAAAAAAAAAAAGCGCATACATTGAAAGTGACATAGCAATTACCACTTTAATCAAATGGGGTATTTCGGGGAAATACAAGATGTGCTCTGCTAATTTTAACTTCATCTTTACTTCATTATAATTCTGTTTCATTGCCAGAAAAGTCACTAGTAGAGCGAAGAATGCTGCACTGGTTAGAACCACAACAGCCAGAGTTGTTCTTTATAGCGCCTTTACTGCAATTAATTTACTTTTAACTTGCTAGGAGGAGGCCATAATACTCATCATTCAGAAATATATTACTAATTTTGAGTAACAGTTTAAACCTGATTAGCACTGTATAATGAAGAATGGCTACTTCTAAAAAAATAAAGACCTTACATACCAAAAACATGCTATATGTTGGGAAACCATTTTTTTCATGCTCCAGCATGTTGTTTACATTTTTTACTTGTCAGAAAGTCTTTCTTTTATCAGCTGAAGAATCCACAAGACTTAAATTTCAAGTATTTGAACTGAACATGAATCAATTTCAAAAAGTGCCAAATTAAAAAAAAAACAAAACAAAACAAAACCAAACCAAAACACAACCCCTATACATGTAGCCAAGCTTTCATAGAAATCCCCAAACAAGGTAAAAAAAAAAAAAAAAGCCTCTCGAAAGAATGGCTTACTAGCTTCATACATGTTTTTAAAGCTGTATAATGTTCACCTAAACACTCCACTTACGAGCATTAGAAGTTTAAAAACACAGAACACCTTCAATGCAAATTGCTTGCAGCGGGTACCCTCAAACATGAATACAACACTAAGCAGAAAACCCTCATTTTATTTGGCTATTTGGACATCCATGTCACATCTACCCACCCATTCATTTCCTGATAGTATTACATCATCTATTAGGGCTTCTGAAATATTGCAGAGCCAGAAAACTCAGAAGAGACTAGTGTAAAAAACACAAAACAGAAGTAAACCCAAACCAACAAAAGTTCCATGACTACACAGCCTTCCACACGGCGAGGCTGTGCAACTGACTGTTTAATGTAACTAAGCTTAAAAGCATCCAAACAAGTAGGCCTGGGTTTGGAAGCTGTCTCATGTCAAATTTTGACCATGTTACTACTCTAAAATAGAAATGTCAAAATAGAACTCATCTCTTCTTTTTCTGTTGCCTCAGCATTTTCCTTCGCTTAATTATCATATCATGTAGCTTCTCCAGTCCCTCTTTGAGTCCATCTCCAATGATTGCACAGGTGGGCTGCAAATGCCAGGGTGTTGAAGAACTCAACTCACTCATCGCTAACATCTTCTCGATTTCAGAAAGGGAGAGAGAGTTCCTCAAGTCCTGCTTGTTAGCAATGATAAGGACAGGCACTCCTTGATTTTCGGATATCCTAGTGATCTTATGAAGTTCTGTTTTAGCCTCCTCCATTCTCTCAACATCGACGGAGTCCACCACAAACACAATGCCATCGGTGCACCTCGTGTACGACTTCCACAGCGGCCTCAGCTTCTCCTGGCCGCCGACATCCCAGAAGTGGAAAGTGACCGTTTTCGAGTTGCCCAGCGTCACTTTGATTTTCTCCGTGTTAAATCCTTTCGTGGGGACAGTGTTGACGAACTCATTGAACTGCAGTCTGTAGAGAACAGTCGTCTTCCCAGCGGAGTCCAGTCCCAAGATGACAATGTGGAAACTCTGGAATGAGGGCAGGCTGGAGAGGATCGGCGTCTGGTCCGAGAGTCCATTCCCCATTGCCAGACGAGAAGGTGACAGCAGACTGCCACAAGCAGAGGCCGGCTCCCACGACTACGCTGGCCGCCGCGCTAGGCTCGGATCCTGCCAACGACAAAACCGACGTTAGCCTTCAGACGGTCCCTCTCCGCCACAGCCGGGCTTTTGGGGCCGCAAAGCGCTGGCCAGCGCCGCCGCCCTAACCGGCAAGGCGGCTGCAGGCAGCGCGACGCGGTTCGACACACGTCCCCCTCCCGGCGCAGCGGGCTTTGCCGCCCCGCGGCGGCGGCGGCCACTGCCGACACTAGAGCTCGCCTGGCACCTGCAACCCCTCACCGCCGCCCCTCACCTACCGCAGTCCCTGTCGGCGGGCGCGTCCCTCAGCGCGGGAAGACGAGGGCAACTCGCGACCCCATGCCCGCGCGCCGCGTCCGCCACACGCGCCACAACTGCTCCTGCTGAGCCGCTACCACCGCTCCTGACACCGGCACCGCACCGACTCCCCCGCATCTGGCAGCGAGGCACCGCCCGGCCCGCGCCTAGCCCTGCGCGCACCGCCCCGCGGGCCCCCATTGGCTCCGCCGCGCGGCGGGGGCGGGGAGGAGGGCGCGCTGCCTTCCGCCTATTGGCCAGCGGCAAAGGCCACTCACCGGAGAACCCGGGTTCTATCGTCCTCTGCCGGACGCTGCGGCCGAGCGAAGGGCCGCGACCTCCGCAGCGGCGGGGGCGCACCGCTCTCCGCCCACAGCCTGCCCGAGACGCCCCACTCCGCCCTCCGCGGTACCACTCCCTCCTTGCGGGGCGGAGTCACTGCGTTACACGGCCCCCTGCGGGAAAGCCGTCGTGCTCCAACGGGCGGACGGCAGCGCCCTGCCGGCCTGGGCGCCCCGCCCCTTCGCCGGAGACGCCTGCGCCCATTGGGTGCTGGTGCTGTCACTCTAGCGGCCTGGGAAACTGCTCGGCAGCGCCTCACAGCGCACCTGCGCCCCTGCCGGGAGTACACTGGCCAGCCTCGCCTCTGCGCAGCCCGCGGGGAGGGGGAGCTGGCGGCAACGCCCTGCTCCTGCCACCGCTCCCTACAGGAAGTCCACGGGGCGGCACGGGGGTACCTGCCGGGGCCGCTCCGCCGTTGCCTTGCTTCCTCACCATCCGCCGACAGCTCCCGTAGCCGCCGCGCGCCCTCCCGTCGCCTGGCAACGGGCCTCGAATCGGCGCCCCTGGCCACGTGACCCGCGGCGGGCAGTGGTTGCCGGGCCCCGCCCTCCCCGATCCGCGGCGTTGGGGTGGGGGGTACGGGTACTGTGAGGCTGTTCGGTGATGGGGGAGATAGGGTGTGCGGTTCGTACTGCTGTTGGAATATGAATTGCCTTACTGAGCCCGGTCTCTTCGAGTGACGCAGCAAATACCGCAGGCTGCAAGCCACCGCCGCCTAGGATCGCTGCACGCACTGATAGGGGCGAAGTGAGAGAGGAGGGAAGTGCTGCAAGCGGGGTTTCTTGCTGGTGTTGCATAAATAAGAGAGAATGGCCCAAGGGTCCAGGCCCGGTTGTATGTTCTTACCGTACTCTTACTGCCTTTTTGCTTGTCCCTACGAAAACAGGAAAGGAACGGTCCGGGAGCAGCTGAGGGTAACAGAGTGAATGAAGTCGACCTGTTAGATGCCTGGCATAGAAAGGGCAGCAGTACTCGCTTCTGAATGAATGTAGTGTCACCTAGGTTAGATACAAGGAATGTTTCCCACGGCCCAGGGCTATGTTAAGTCATTCTTCATTTTAATATCCAAGCATGATTCGAGCAGTGAAGTCTTTCAGAACTAACATCTAATAAGACTTTTTCCTGTGTTATTGCTTGCAGAGCATACAGGTTTTAGAGGAGGGCTGCAGGAGTATTTTGTCTCTGATGTTCTTGCTGTCCCACCTTCATTCTATTCCTTCCCATGGAACAATTTTCACTTAATGCGTTTACCACAGCTATAGGTAGTTGTGGCGATGTGGATGGTTACTTCTGCCCGTGTTGGATGTACGTCAGCTCAATGTAAAATAGCAGTAGTACACGGACAGATTTGCTGGCTTCAGAGCAAAGCATACTAGAGAGTTCTTCGTGTATAACCATTTCTTAGATAAAAAAATAAATCAATATTTTTGAAAGAAACATATATTTAACTGCCAGTTAAAGCTCTTGTGCTGATGAAGGCTACCATTCTAAGTGTGTTTTCTTTACTTTGTATCACAGTCATCGAAATCTTTGACCAGTTGGTTTCCAGTAAAAAAGGTGAAAAGCTGTCATTTTTGGTATTAAACTTGGTTTCATTTTTCTAGAGGACTTTCAAATTTCTTGGTGTGGCTGCTGAAAAGGGATGAATTTTTAAGAATATTCTGGCAATCACATTTCTTTTTTCCTTTGAAATCATTGCACTTTATATTTGAAATCACAAATAATTGAGATGTATAAAAGAAGTAACTTAATGGAAAAAAAAATCCACAGTGTGCTATAGACAAGGTTTCATATAGTTAAAGTCTTAAGAGGCCTGTTACAGTCCTACTAAAAATAGCAAAATTTTCATTTGCTTACATCTGAGATTAATATTTTGCTGCTTTTATCTTTGTTAGTTATTTACATCCTGATCTTCCTCTCCTTGGAGGAAGTGGCCTGTTTGTATAGGAAAATGCTTTTATATCTATGGAAAAGTAGGGGTAAGTTACTACGCTTAAGGCTAGCTATTAAGGATTCTGATTTGGCAGTATTTTAACCTACTTTTAGATAGCATAAAAAACTGCACAGCATGCAGTGTGTAAGAAAAGCACTTTCCATGACAATAAAGGCAGGCCTTAATTATTTCTTGGATGGTTTCCAGTAATTTAAAATTGGTGGAAACCAAGATATACCTTGTTAAGGAATATTACCAGAGATAATAGATTTATTCATAAAATTTGACAAGCTGAAATAAATCAAATTGACCTTTACCTCCACCTACAAAATAATGTATTCCCTTTTTTAATGGAAAAATAAGCCTATTAGACATTATAGTCTTCTAAACTTTAATGTCTGATTGTTACCAAGATCTGTTCACACTTCTAACACAGCTTTATAGTAACATATTTTACAATTAATTCCACAAGGAGGGATATAGGCCAGCTCCCGTTTTATTGGAGTATTTTGATTTTAAACATAAAATGAAGAAAGGTACCCTTCATCTTTTTCTCTGCTGAAAACCAGTCAATACATAATAACAGATTTTGGTGCCCTTGAAAAGGGAAGGACACAGAGTACAGCATAACCAACACACATACACTAGGTGGAGAAGGAATGTTGTAGGCGTTTCTTTGGAAGAAGAGTTTTATGACATCAGAGAGCTAATTTTAAAATCAGAAATTACTATCTTCAGCAAAATAAGCATACTTCTATTTGCAAATATATATAAGAAAGTGATCCACACTGTCCAGAAAATGCTTGGAGAAGTAGATTATACTACTTCTTTCTCCCTCCCTACAGTTAATTTATCTCATCTGCGTGTTGTAACTTGCCATAAAGTGAATTATGAACTCTCTGGGGCAGGAACTGTTTTTCAGTGTAAGCCTTCTTAGTGTTTAGCACCTCGATCTTAATTAATGCCTGTAGGAATTTCTGCAAAACAGCTATTAAATAACAATCCAAGTTGATCAACTCCTCCCATGCACTTCATGCTACTTTAGAAGTCAAATGTGCAGAATGGGCAGGTGTTCCAGGTGTTATGAAGGGAGTAATGGTATCTAAATTAGTGGGGGTGTAAGAAAGCTGACACATTCAACCGCTGATAACTGAAGGTAAGGGTGAAGCAAGGCTTTGATTATCCCTTAGAAGTCCCGGATGAAGGAGGTGTACAGTAAGAAGTATTCTTAACTTTCTTTTCAAGTATGTAGCTAAGTGGGGGGAATGGGCTGTTACTAGATGACTGGTGAAAATAACTGAATGATCCGTGTATGAGGAAACAATGGGAAAAGACTCCAGCCATGTGCAGGCTTTGTAATGCAAGATGAGGAGGTGTCTAATTTATGTGTTGGGTTATTTCACATACAGCTATTTTTTTCACTTCCTATCTAACTTGTGTATGGCTCTCAATTCTTTCTGGCTCAGCATTCCTTAGCTCCTGAAAACGACTGCCACTTCAGCATCACTAGGCTAAAAGTCTCCTCCTCTTTGACGCCAATTTACCAAGGTACATGGTAATATATTATTTTCTACATATGTTTTATACATGTAGTCTATGTCTATTTTCCACACAGGAAAGGTAGCTTGGAACAAATCTTTGTGTTCCAAGACAAAAAAACAGCACTTGCATAAAATGCAGCTTCTTTATTATGATAAAATAGTATATATATATATATATATATATATATATTTTTTTTTTTTTTTTTTTTTAATTCCTAAATGGTCCAGGGATAATTTTGGTTCAAAGCAGGTTTGGGAGGGCCAGGCCTAAAATATGAAACCTAGATAGATCTTATTAGAGGTATGGACCATGGAACTGGTTGAAACGTTACCAAGAGACAATCTGCATAGGGTGGAAAGTGAAAACGCTAGAAAATTTTAGCATTATTACCCACTAGAACCTTAGGTTACCCTTTTAATGCATATCACCCTGTGCACTGCAGGAGCTACCTCACAGTGCCCAGGTAACAACAGAACCGCAAAGGATCATCAAACATCCACTTGCAAGGCTGCACGTGTACTTCATAAGGACTGTCTTTCATATGGAAATAGAAATTAATGGAAATTAAAAGCTAGCCTTTCATGAGAGACTCACTCTAGCAAGACACCATGTCAGAGCTTTCACTTAGTGCTGGCCATTTTAAAGCTGAATTCCATTACAGCAGGCATGACTCTGGTTATACAAGCGCATCTAGGACCACAGCATAAGAGAAATTCTTTCCAAAGCCAAGTCAGTGGTCTTAATTTCCTTGGCCAGATAAGCACAATACTCCTTTTGTTCTGATTAAATACCATCATTTCATAGAACAAGCTAATGACATTAATTATCCAGTTCAATAGCTATTCACCTTAGCAGCTATTTTTTAGTAACACCATGTGTTGTGCAAATCAAATGAAAAGTGAAACAAGACAGATGACCCACATCCCATGTACTGCTGATGCAGAGGGTTACAGCCAGAACTGTAGACCAGCAAAGGACAGAAACAAATGAAGGAGAGGAAGAAACGAGCTGCATCATGGAGCTGAATTAGTTGTAAACCACAAAGGAATGGTCATAAGGAAATTTTAATTACTGCAAAGGGCAGTGCACTGCCAGCTACAGAAGGCTGGCATATAGTGATGGTGTCCCAGCACCTCTGTCTTCATGAAAGAGACATGTTGGCAGCCTCACAGCACCAGTTCTTGTGGGTCCATGTGGAAACCAAGCATATTTCTCAATGCGTATGAAAGAGAAAATTAATTGCATTTCAGTACAATGACACAGCAGGCCTAGACTAGACTAATAATGATTAATGTATGTCTAATAATAATGGTTATTATTACAGTAACCTTTAGCTTGGTCGTACATTCAAAAATTGAAGTTACTCCTCTTCAGCTGTACTCTAGATCTAGAGCTAAAAAAGTATTTGAAGATGTTATATGCTCCTAAGAATATCAAGTTCCTACATAAAATACTACAGGAGTCCCACCATGGATTTTGAGAACCCCCTTGAAAATAAGCTGTAACAATGAAATTGCTGACAAATTGCAACACATGAAGTTTTGTTCTTAAGACTCTCTTAAATTGACGTACAAAATATTTTGCACAAAGAAGCCTTTTATC